ATAAGTATGAAACATGACATTTTACTTTATTTGAGCATTTTTTGAATGTGTTCAGCAAGAAATGTATCATACTCAGCCAATAGCTCCAGTGCTCTCAAGTAATTGTCATTATGCATTGAACCAACTACTGACCAACAAGTTGTGCATGGCTCATACACAAATTACATCATAACCTTCTCAGGTTACTTTCCAAAACTACTTTAAGCCTTGGTTTAGTAAGGTTCTGCCACCTGGAAACCATCAAACTCGAAAAGTTTTCTTTTGCTTTTCAGGCACCAAGAAATAAATAATCACAGACTAAGCTCGACCAAACTAACACTTTCATCTAAAATTTCTTGTAAGTCAGGATTACTTACTTACTTGTATTTATTATAGTTAATATCAATATACATTTAAACAAAACCCAACTGTCTCACTGCATATAGAGAAGTATACACCTTTTTTAAAGTGTACTGAAAACAAATGTCCAGCAGACTATTTGGTATTCTCCATGAATTTCTTTATATTCAGTTAGATCATGTAGCTCTTAAAACAGTCTGCAAAGCTTATTTGACTATATTTTTAAACTTCTAACTACTATCTTCAATTGTGCGTATTGTCATTGCATTAGGCATTACATCTATAGGTTTCAGCCATCCTAAACTGTATTAATCAAGCACCTACAATCTGATATTCCACCTAAATCTCTTGTCTTGATGCTCTGCTTGGAAAGTAATGGTCACAGAACTTTATCAGTTCTGTTAATTTTATATTCAAAAAACTCTTTTAACTTCATTGTAATCAAGTGTAAGTCTCCAAATGTTGTAATTAAACTGTATAGTAAGTATCACTTGTAGCTTGGAAAGCAACAATCAACATTTCCTCTATAGTCATCAGGTACTCGACCAAATAATCATCGTAGCTCTACACAAGTGGTAATTGCACAGAGCAACACACACAGTGCCTCGTGTCACCATTCAAGGCCTCAGAAAGAAATGATTGTGATGCCCTTTCATTCAGTAGTTTTTCAACTATTAGATCATCCTTGCTCTTGTGGCTGGGTTCAACCTTAGCCATATCAGTTGAGAAACATCATCAATGGTTCCCTGGACTATTGGAGTTTAATATCACTAGTGCTTCATCGTCTTCATAATCATGTACAACCAGATAAGTACTTCCCCATACTCTGGTCATTTTGTGATAAGATATTGCCTTCATCATTATCCAACTCAAACACCTCATCTTTTGAACCTTGGTGAAACCAATTCAACAGAGGTCATATATGCATGCAGCTTGTCAAGATATCAGACATGCTTTTGCACGCAATTTGAGTGTTGTATGTCATATATAAAAAGACTGGCTCATTAGAACACAAGATGAAGTCCAGACTAGCTGGAGCCAAGAGGCTTCCATGTTGGTTTCACACTACAAAAGCCACATTCAGTCTCCACTTTGGTACACCAATTCCTTCACCATATTATCATAGCACCTTTGCTGAAATATGGCAGCCTTTCGTAACTTAACTTATTAATCAGGATGTTCTTCCAATCTGTAAAGGTCATTGTTGGGTATACCTTTCCATTATATACGTACAGATCATTGGTGTAGGTGGCCAGTCCCTTGGTACATACACTCTTCCATGAATTCGATCTAACAGATCACTTGATTTTTCACTGGGCCAAATTTGAGCTGTTTTTGTTTTTTTGCGTGACAATGGCCTGGGAGTTCTGATATGGAGACCTCCACATGTAGTCTCGAATTTGCCAGGTGCCAGTCTATTCCAGCAAACCTCAGATGTCTAAGATTCCCTTCCACTAATATCAATTCTCATGGGTACCATCTGCTCGAATGGTCTGGGTGTATCAGACATCAGCAGATGTCCCCCGAGTCAATGGTTGCACATTGACCAATGTCTTAAAGCCTTTGGAAAGCACTTGGTCATTTCCAGTAGTGATTTTCAGGGAGGAGAAAAGTATATAATGTTTTGTGTGAACTTCCAATGAGTGAACACAGTAACTGTTGGAAATACAAGACTATTCAGTTTAAGTTATTATTTAGTAATTTAACATTTATTGATCATTTAGTTTTCAAAACAAGAGTGTTGAAAATTAATCATTTTCAAAGCAACAGTTATGACAAGTTTCGTTATGTAAATCTGTATGAGT